TAAGTAACGGTGAACCAACCTTAAGTGCGGCTTATACTCCCCCCTCTTATTAAAATTTTATGAGAGGTTTATTATAAATTGACGGTACCAGTACCATGTTTCTCGGAATAAACATTATTTTGTGGACATTGCTTGGTTGTCTTGGTGTACCCGGAAGTAAACTGCAAACCTCTAGTTAGATAACATCCCCGAGAGAGGCGAGAGGACACACCCTCTTCTCCGATCTTACGGCTGCTGAGAGCTGGTGGAGGTTTACGTTAATTAGTGGCCTCTGAGCAAGACTGGGTTGGTCTTGTCTTAAGAGTGACTTTCTCTACAATCCCCCTTATTAAGAACTAGATTTTGTCTTAGACGAGCGAGAGACGGTTTTTTCCAGATGGCACGAGATTTTGTAATACGAAACGTCTGATAGACGTATCAGTCATTATACTCAGTTTTTCAGGGTTTAAGGTTATAAACTGTGATAAGGAGAGACGTATGTAATTGACGTTGGAAGGAAACATCTCGACACCAAGGACGTTCCGCGAAGGGAATTTATTAGCGTTGTCAGGGAGAGACTGTAAGTACGTTTTTGAAACGGTCTTCTTGCGGAAAATTTGAGTGGATACTAGACCTTACGGAAGGATAAGACAAATCGTAGTTATATAAGTTTCTGTACCCAAATGGTAGTATGGGTTAGACGACGTTGGCAGTATGGCTCGCTCTCTTCCTTATACAAACAGGTGGTTCTGACGGTAGAAATGGGTTAGTATAAAAGATGGGATTTCTTCTTAGTAAATAGGTTTCACTGAATGTATGAGAGTTAATAGGTATCATGATGGCAGTGATCCACTTCGCTTATACCCCACTATCGACTAGGACTAAGGATTGCCCTAAAAGGGAGACTTAGCGGAGACTAACGCATCTGCGGTAATAATAGAGTGAATGAAACTCGGTGTCGGTGGGTAAGGGAGGAACGCTGAGCATAAAAGTAAAAGTGTAGAATAAAAATAACTGAAGACAACTCGCAGTTGCAGCTTACAAAGATTCACACCCCAATTTGGGAGTGATTCATTGCGATACACTTTTGTGTATAATGACTCACTCTCTATGCGTGGGTATGATAAGATGTGAAATTTGTGCCTTATCAATGGAGGTTCACACTCGTATACAGCTCTAGTTGGCTATTCGATGTGTAGTGTTCAATTCTATACTCGAATCTTGTAATCTCGGACAAGTTGCGTATATGACATAAAATACGCTTGACTTTATAATGTCCGCGGATAGATGTGTGGGAGCGTGGCGGTGTGGGTGGAGGGTTGGAGGAGTGGTGGAGGTGCCGCGAAGTTAAAGAGTGAACCAGAGCCGAATTAGCTAACCTTCTTGTTCTTTTCTATATATATACATATCACGGGAGTCTATGTTGTTTTATCGTAAATTTTTTTGTAAAGCAACTCGCAACTCCCCTATTCTCCAAGATTTTGCGATGTGAAGGGTATTTACCCATAGGTTTGTGCAACAGATGATTATAAGAGTTCCTGTCATTGGCTGTAAGTAATTTTGTTGTGGATTGACATTGATATCGCTCTCAAACGTTATAACAGACTTGTTATTTTTCTGTTAGACTTTAACATAAAAAAAATTTTCGCACCCCAATTCAATTAAAGACTCTATTGGTAGTCGAAAGCGCTCACGCGATACTATAAACTTTTAATGGTGGTCCGGCCTTTTTTTTAGACGGTGAGAGGAATGTCTCGGGGAGGAGGTTTGTGTGTGTTGCGGTGATACTAGGTTACTCCCGTGCTCTATTCAAAGCACGGTGTTCTACCTTCGACTGTCCGTCCGACAAAACCAGCGTGACCCGTTTATTGTTAAGAAATATTTTCAGTGGAAGTAGCTGGCACTAAATCCTACAGTTGCTTCAATTTGGTTTATTACATTATGAAGACAAAGTAAATATAAATGATCCTGTTTTATGACTTAAAAATATATACATCAGTTATTTATAGTTGTAATTTTTTTAATGCTGAGCTAATTTTGTTTTACTTTGTGTACAAACTATTGAATAAGTAATGTAAACATGTTATTTATGTATGCGTGTGTATGGCAAGCCGATTTAGCTTTTATTCATTTCTGGAGGATATCAAAAAAATCTATTCTTACTAGTAAGAATGCGAATTCTTGATATCAAAAATGTAATTCTTACTAGTAATAATGTTTATTTCTGATATCAAAAATTGAAATTTAGCTAGTTAGAATGCAAATTCTTGATATCAGAAATTGGTATTTTTACTAGTTCAAATTGAATTGCAACTAGTAACAATTGAATTACTGATATCAGAAATTGGCATTTGAACTAGTTCAAGTTCCAACTCCCATTGAAACGAACGAGAAAAACAATGCAAATCTCACTATTTAAAATCACATTTCTGATATCAGAAATACACATTACAACTGGTTACAATTGAATTTCTGATATCAAGAATTTGTATTCTAACTACCGTAATTTTCGGACTATAAGGCGTACCTGAATATAAGCCGCAGCAGCGGCATACCACTCTCGGTTCCACTTTTACTTTTGCGCGCTACCTGTCTCACTCTTTTCCGGCCTCCAGCTTTTCCTGCTGGAACCCGCCGCTTAAAGGTGGGGGTCCGCGGACCGGCCATAGAGCCCATAGAGTTAAAGGTGTTGGCCGTTAGCTGTAAAAATCCATAGATTAGCCGCACCGTTATATAAGCCGCAGCGTCGAAAAATAGGGAAAAAGGCGTGGCTTATAGTCCGAAAAGTACGGTAGTTAAAATTCAATTTTTTATATCAAGAATTTGCATTCTTACTAAGATTAGATTTTTTGACATCCTCCAGAAATGAATAAAAGCTAAATCGGCTCGCCATATGCGTGTCGATACTTAAGTACATGTACAATACTTGATCAAATGTACTTAGTTCAAATTCAACCAGTAAAAACAATTTACATCATATCAAATTTGCATGTTGGCAATGTTATCGCACATTCACATGTATAAAGCTCAGTGGTTGGGAACGAGAGGGCCCCAGTGCTGTTTATATAAGAGTCAGAAGATTCTGCGACAGATTTCTCATTGCAGTATTGGGATAATTGTAATTTATTTGAGTTAATTGGGGGGTTTAAAAGTAGTCTATTGATGTTTTAAGCAGTCCACTAGAGATGCTGATACTGGATCCTGTGTTAACATCTACAAATTAATATTTACCAATGTTCAAAAGTCTGATCCGAACAAGTGTTGGACCAACAATCCCAAGTGCCTGTCAGTCAGTAGAACATCCGAGAGAGAAAATGTATGTGCACCCTACAGTCACTCAAACAAAGCCCAGAGTACTTCTCAAACATGAATGGACAACAACAACAACAAAAATGTGCCCTTGTGTAATGTTATCCTGGCTGATTATGAATGCACAGAAATACCTTTTTCCACACTTGGCACTATGTCACAGAAATGTCTCTTAAATGCCAGTGGGTCCATACTATGAATGGTGCAAAAAGTGAAAGGCTAAACATATGGCGGGTGAATCACCCATGAAGAAATAGTACCAGTCACTATCTTTACGTTCCAGATGTAATCATGAACTCACGCGCCCTCGACCCCCTCACATTAAAGACACAACCGATCCACTGTGTCACACAGCTGATGTACCCGACGCAGAGACAGAATGTCCTGTACAAGGACTATGGGTTGGTGAAGTAAGGAAGAGACAGGAAAGAGGAAAACATCCAACAGAATGAGTTAAATCAATATTTAATGTCTGCCAAGAGTGTTTTGCAAGATGGTGCAGCTTTATTTTTGCTGGATTTTAGTGCAAGACTACGGTTATATAAAGCCCTTTAAACAATCTGCGTACAATGAAATATCTCCACAGCTGTCATTTTATATGTCTCACTTTGGCATCTACAAAGTTCACATTCCAGATTTGACAGTCATTTCAGTGAGGTCAGTTTGTCTCTATACTTTATACTGGGACATATCAATCTTTATGGCGCCACGTGCAGCAGAATAAGCAATAGGATTGGACAGTTGGTTGTGTCTGAAATGAATCCAGCTTCTTATACATTATATATTATAATAGTACACATATCTAATGTGTCCCAAGATTCCCTGTGTTCTGAATGTTACCCTCGCCCTGTCTGACCTCTTGGCGCCACAGTGTGTGTTGAATATATGCCAATACTGTGCTTATAGGAGCTTAACACAGTACATTACAGCTGAGTATATTGTGTGTGTCTATGCATGCAAATGTGTTTATAATGGATTTGAAACAGGGCTGCAACTAACAATTATTTTCATTATCGATTCATCTGCTGATTAGGTGGAGGAAATAAATCAGCTTTACTGCTGGTTTATTCTCACTATAGCCTGGCCATTTATGTATATTTAAAACTCTAACTGTACAGAACTGTACTGTATAGAAATATTTTTTCAACACCAGACTTTGCCAAAATGATAATTTAGAGTGACAACATCAGTTTCCTCCTATTTCAAACTCCTATTTTTATAGCTAAATGTTATATTTATTCTATATTTGACTGTTCCTATATTCTACTTTTCACAGATAATGTTTATGTATCTTTTGGACAAACAAGTGAGTCAAACTGTAACTGTATCACATAGTCCCAGGGTTGCTTGCTTATAAATAAAGAAAAGGAAAGTTGTGCAAACGCTGCTTCCTGGTTCAACCCCTCCCCCATAAATAATGACAGTAATGTAGGGGGAAAATCCAAAGCACTTGGTTCCATAAATAGGTGTGGCACATATGTGATACATGTGATAGACATAGATCTGTCATTAACTAGAAGCTTTCAGTAAGCCAAGGAGACGTGGAACAGGTGTGGCAAAGTCACACAAACCCAATGCTGTGATTAAACATGACTATCACATCCACGGCCACATGACATTTGTTTCCATTGCAGCCCCATGGAAATCTATCGTTTGCTCTATATGGTTTGGAAAACACTTAAAATAGATATTTAGTGATGTCTCACATTTACCTGGTTGCGTCCTCTCCGTCTGCCATAGTTCCGCCTCACCAGCGTCTTGTAGTTGTGGTTCTTCTTGGTCAAGTAGTAGTAAAGGACACAGTCGGCAACACACTGAAATAGGAAAAGGAATATTTTGATCATATGCAGTGAAACTGGATGGAACTTTCTGTTAACTAAGTGACAATTAATCCATCCATTATGTTATAGCTGAATCAAGTAGGCCACAAAATGTCAGAAAATAGTCAAGCCAGTTTCTTACTAAATATCCAAAACCTTAAGACATTTTGTTAAAAATACTATAAAACACAGAAAAAAAAAGAAATACCCATATTTAAAAAGGCTAAAAACTGGACCAATGACCAAAGGATGAAAGATAATGTTGAAAGTAGTGTTAAGTGTATGAATATGTATCTACTATTTATTTTAAATAAAAATGCATTAAAGCCTGTTGGATTCAATCAAATTTAGTATGGAAAGTAGTTTATGGTCTTAAAACCCAAAGAGTAAAATATAGATAACATTAAATTCTGAAATACACAGGATCTCAAACTTACCTTTCTCTCCAAATAAGAGGCAATAAGGCCAAAGTTCTTTGGGTGTTGGACAAACCTAGAAAGAGATGCCAGTCATTACTCATGTGCCAAATCCAAAAATATATTAGTGCAAGGCTGAGGTCGCCATTAGAGCCTGTACACAATATCCACACTGCAGACATCCTGCGCCACAAAAAAGTAAAACACAACTCACTTCTCCTTAAAGATCTCCTTCTCATGTTCGGTCCAAACATTCATAAACTGCCGGGCTTTGTACACCTTCATAGGGTCATCCATCAGGCCGTTCATGTTGATGAACCTCACTCTCCTCTGCTCAGTGTCGTACATCATGGGCGGGATGACTGACATCTGTCTCATCTGTTTCTCGTTGTTCTGTGGAGCACGGACAAAGATAGTCACTCCAATAGTCTCCCTTGTTTAGTTAACCGCCTTTCTGCCTCTGTGAGTTGTTTGAATGAAATGTATTCTAGATGATGCAATTGAAACGCTGCAGAGAACTCTCCCTCTTAAAAGACACAAACTGTGACACTTCTATTTAGGCTGTTGTCATCCAGCCATGCTGTTGTACATTTACACTTTAATATATGCAGTGTTGGGACCAAAAATAACGGCGTTACAGTAACGCCGTTATTTTTGGCTGTAACTAGTACTCCAACGCGTTATTTTTTAAATTCAGTAACTCAGTTACCGCTACTACATGGTGCATTACTCCGTTAATTTTTTTTATATAGTCTCGGCTCCCAGACGTTGGTGAGCGGCGCCAACAGCGAGGCGAACAGAGATGAGAACTGTACTTAAGTACAGTACTTGAGTAAATGTACTTAGATACTTCCTGTGTCACATGCGGAGACGCGCTGTGGGCGTGTTTGTGTTTACTAACGAGACTATCATGGCGGCGGCGGAGCTCAAGTCGAGTTTTTCCGCCTGGAGATATTCTCACTATTTCACTTTTGTCGAGCACAAAGAAATAACGTTTTAGTTAAATGTAAGTTGTGTCTTGGCGGGTCAAAGATCCTATCTACTGCCCAAAACAGCAATTCAAATCTGTTGAAACATCTGCAGAAACAATATGCTGGGACGAAGCTAGTAGCCTAGCTAAGACCACAGACCCAGACTCATCCGACGCCACTCCACCTCCACCTAAGCAACAGCGGCTGGATTTTAACCGAGGGACTGCTAGCCAGGGAAAAGTTGATAAAGCCATTGCACGGTATGTTGTAGAACACATGCAGGCTATTTACTATTTCTATTGCTATTTCTTGATCAACAGATTGTATTATTCTCCAATGCAATAACAGTACTGAAATGAAGGCTATAAGGGCATTAATGGGAGCCCTTTTTTTAAGTTTTTGATGGTAAGTAATCAGTAAAGTAACTGAGTTACTTTTGAAATGAAGTAACTGGTAATGGTAACTAGTTACTGGTTTTCAGTAACTAGCACAACGCTGAATATATGTAATAAAGGCTCTCCAGATAATACCCACCTCCTGCTCAGAAAGGCCATCTATGATTTCAGAAATCTCATGCTCGCTTCTTGCGATTGTCGCAGAAAGGCCTGTTCCTCTTTGTCCAACCCTGCAGGAAACAGAGACAAACAAATGTTACATTTTAATTTTTTAAATGACACATTACATTTGTATGATGAGCCAAGACTTAACAGTAGCCTCCCATTATTTTCCTTTAAAGAGGAAATGTGATTTCCCGGTTTCCGTGAAAAAAGCGTCACGAGTAAGCTTTGGAACTTTAAAAACGTTTTCAACAAACAGAATCAAGTACACATTATTAATACATAAGAGTCTCTTGAACAAGTAATTAACGACTTCCTTATGCACGGTCTGGCTGTCAGCTTTAAGTGCTGACATGCAAACTATTTACTTGGAACATTTCCGCTGGACCTTGACCCCGTCTCCCACCCTTCCCAGAGGCACCTAGACGACCAGCAGCTCTGCACAAAATAGGCAACTACACACCACCGTGTGCCCTGTATTTAGATGCTAGATGAACAGACATCTTAAATAATGGAAGAGACTATTTCAGTGTCACGGCTCAGTTACAGGACAAATCTAAATTATCTAAGCATCAAAAGATTTCTAGAGTAAAAATGGTTTCACTCTACAGTCTCCGTCTTTGACCACGTCCTCACACTCAGTAGATCCTTCAGGTTTATAATAACTGAGTTTACTTCAGTCCTTTGATGCTCTGCAATTTGAGGTCAGGATGTCTACTTCAAGAGCGAAACATCCACTCTGTTACCAGTATTAAACAGAAACAGTGCTGGGCAATAAGACCCTAGAAAAAGTTAGCAATATAGTTTTTCTCCTTCAAACAGCTAACGTATCTGTATAAAAGCTAAAACAATTACTCTGAAAATTAATCAGTTTTGATGATTTTCTTAAATCATAATTTTAGTAATATCCGAAGCAAAATGGCCAGAAGAAAATGACTGGTTAAAGCTCATAAAATGTAAACATTTCTCTTGTAATAACAAACTACTTTTATTAGGGTTTTGCAATTTGTTTCTACATTTAAAGGTCACCTATCATGCAATATGTAGGCAATAGCATAGGTCTCAGATATATAAAAATGTATAAAAAAACATGTCTATGAAGTGTTTTGCTCAAAATACCAAACAGATCCCCCATTCTAGCCAAGCCTCATATCCCTCTATTTCACTTCCTGTTACTAAAGTGCTGATTTGTGGTATAAAGCTTTGAAAAAAAAGAAAAAGAGGGGGCAGAGCTTATGCCTGCTTATGCGGGACCCTGCAGATACTGTCTAAAATAAATGCTGCGGTGATGAAACGCCAAAACCACATCAAGGATTATTTCTGAAACGTTATGGAGCTCAAAGGCTTTCTCTCTATTGCTGGTTTACCACAAGGTGAGTTCCTTTTTATTTCCTGCTTCTTCACACATGCGCTCTCTCCAGTACTGGTTAGCTCTGAGTGTTAGCGATGCTTGCTAATGTAAACAAAGGCCATATTATGTTCAAAACACGTCGAGCATTGATTCTGTGGGTGCCATCCGATATGACGTAAATATCATATCGGATGGCAAATCTAGATCAGCTCGTTGTAGCCCCGTTTTTCAGAGATTTGCGCACGGAGGAAAAGAGAGAGGGTTTTATTTTCTGACACTTTGTGAGTTCCCTGACATGCCGGGGACACACATTTATGTATAAAAGACATCAAAAGGGGAATTTTGCATGATAGGTCCCCTTTAAATGTCATTTGTTTGACAAACAATCCATAAATTAATTGTGGAAATAGTCAGGTTATGGATAGTCAATAATGAAAATAATCCTAAAATGCCACCTGAAAAAAAATGTATTGTGTTGATGTAAATCAACCAATATGCACTATAGAAAGGAGTAGAAAAAGGCGAGATTTGTGAGCTTCTGAACCATGAACCAATATTAACAGAAACAAAAATAGGGGTATAATGTCTCTATGTGGACGGTTCACAGGTAAACCGGTTTACCTCTGGAATCGCTCCTGTTGCTCTCTCTGCTTGCGGATCTCGGGGAATTGCCTTTCGTAATACTCCCGTGTTCTGCCATCTTTGGCTTTGCGTCTGGGGTTATTCTCCATTCGATCAACCTTCTTCTCCCACGCCTCCATCAGCTGGTCGTAGCGCTGGCAGATCTTCTGTTCCTGTGAGCACAGTGTGGGAAACCAATGGGATATCAGGAGTGGGTTCCTGGCCTCTATCACTATAGTAAGAGCCAAAATGTCTTCCTGCCAAACCATGAGCCAAAAAGAACCTTTTTGTATAAAATATATATAAATAAAATCTGCATGTACACTGTTCTTTTAAACCACCGACTGTAATGCGGATTAAAAGGGTATTGAGATATGTCAGTCCTATAAGTTTGACTTACTTAAAAATAAAGGCTTTTTTGGGAAAAACCTTTCAAATAGATTTCCCTGAATGAATAAAACTGATTCTAAATTACAGTACATGCAATTTGTATTATGGTATATGGATTCTCAGGTTTCTATTGAAGCAACAGTCAGCGCTCAGTTTTTTTGAAGGTAGAGTAGATGAAACACTTCGGAGCTGTACTAAATAGTTTGAAGCTTCTTTTGCAACGTTGAAAAACTGAAAATGTTTAGATTTGACAGTTTTTTTTGCATGTCTATTCAATCTGTTTTAACCTGGTAATTATGCAGACCAACTGCACATGGCAGCTGTGATGTTGTATGTTAATCTTTTAAATAACTGCCTAACTCAGCATCCTGACTAAGGCACAGCTTTTTTCAGAAGCAGCTTTTCTGTTGACAAATAGTTTTCAAGTGCTTGTTTAGTGGGAATGCTGTTAACATGTTTAGTGGGAATGCTGTTAACAGCATTCCAACTAACTGTTCTTCTACGCACGAAAAGTTTATTATCCCGCGACTTATTTTGCCGCGCTTCTTCTCCCGCATTGAACATCGCAGAAACTCCGTTCAAACATCAAAACGTTCAGCTCGGTCAGGAATCGATGGCTATTACTTTTCTCATTCATAACTTTCATAATTCCAGAGATACATACCATAATTCATCACATTTTTAACATTTGAACTTTAACATTGCGCAGCTCGTTAAGGCAGAGTGCGTGATGTCAGAGTTAGAGTGGAGAACAGTTTGAAATTTGCCTTACTATATTTTTTTAAAACTGCCATAATTCCCAAACCCTACATTCCTGAGACATAATTTTTCATGACAAATGTAGGAAAACATCCCGCAGCTTGAAAAATGACAAATAATTAAGCAAAAATAATTAAACAAAGTGCCTCTTGAGGGCATGAAGTGACAAAAACGTTCAACATGTCTCCATTAAAGCCCATTGTAATTTCAGGCAGATATTTCCTCACAGCAGCAGCCGCACACCTTTAGTTAAACTGCCAAAAAGGCCACATTATTAACCCGAAAGTACACAAAAATTACACTTCAGATACTCAACTTCCTTGACATGCTTCACGTTTTGAAATTTCACAGATATCTGTTACGGTTCTTCCACAAAACGTTCACATGTAAGAGGTTCATCTCTCATTCAGAACAATGAAGCCTTTGAAGTCTAGGCACCTCGTTAGCTCAACTATAAACACCTGTGCAATGGAACACGATGATGTCATCACTCCAACTGACATGCTCAGAGCAGCAGACTTCAGATAGCAGTGTGCAAACAGTCCAGCCGTGAAGACATCTACGGGACAGTTTTTGAGATTTCTTCAAATGCTCGCCTTCATACACGGTTTTCTCATAACTTCAGTGAAACTGCTCCAAACGCCCCAAAACTTCACAGGTTTGGTAACAATGCAGCCATCAACGCATCTAAACGTATTATGAGGTGTCATCAAATGCCGTTGCCATGGCGACAGATCATTCGCCATCAAGTTAGTTCAGAAGTTTGCGGTTCAAATATTCTGCTGCTATTCCAAGCCTTTTCACTTTATTTTCTTCTCTCATCACACATTCAAGCCCCCAGTGTTCATGTATCATTTCAATCTAAATTATCCACTTTTTTTCTTACACATTACATTTCAACAGTTTAGCGTCAGATTTTCAGCATAAAGCATTCCCACTAGCAATTTCTTCAGGAATTGCATTCTCTAGTTTAAATTGGTGTTTCAATGAGCACTAAGCCATGACGTGAAAGGGGTGGAAGGGTTCACATATTAAGTTAAGATATGGAAAGACTCCTTTATTGGGAGGACAATACAGCTTTGTATTGTCCACTCTCTGCAGCAGGGGACCAACAATTCACCTTCCTCTTGGCACTTAGCCATTTGCACTCTGCCATTGTTTAGAGACCAAAGGGTCCGTTTCCGACAGGGAACAGGCAAAGAAAGGTAGGTTGCACTAAGCCATTGCAATACAAAAAAAAGCCCTGTTGTTGTTTCAACATGGGGTGATTCTGAAATATTTAAATTTGCTGGATAGTAAGAAAAAAGCCAGAGGGACAGTCGATTGGCTGGCGTATTTCTCTGTTATTCAATGTGACCATATTTATTGTTATGCTGGCAACAAAAGCACTTCTTGGCCCGCACAATACTTTTCAACAAACAGGGGAAACCAAGGCATTTCCTGTAGTACAAATACATCAAGGCATTATTTCTATAAGCCATGCTAAAAGCAGGATGGCAAATGGGGTCAGTCGGTTCACCACTCTGCTTAAGACTGAAATATGTCAACAACTTGAGTGCCATGAACTTTTGTAGTCCTCCATGGTCCTTAGAGAATAGCCGCCCGTAGTGGCTGGTGGTTTAATTAAAATGTCTTGAAATTACTTTGGTGGTCCCTTAAATGTTATTATCACATCAAACTTTTAATTGTCTAACACTTTTGTCTAATACCAAAAAGTTAATAACACTCCCATCACTCTTAGCTGTTATTGTTTTTAGGGTTAATTAGCTAATGCTCGCAAAAAAGCATTTAGCTCAAGTACATCCTTACAGAGCTGCAGATTCTAAGACTATAAAGCATTGTCACTGCAGCCCTAATTTTTTGTCACACTACACAGACACCTCGTAATTACATTACATGTTACTTGTTAGACGCTTTTATCCAAATCCCCACAGGAGCAATTTGGGGTGAAGTGTCTTGCCCAGGGACACAACGACATGCTGACTGCAGTGGGGTTTGAACCTGCGACCCCCTGATCCCAACACCAAGGCTCTATCCACTGCACCACACGCCTCCCTTACAGGAGTTTCTTTTTAATATGTATTAGATACAAGTACATTTAAGATGACAAGCAGTATAAAAGCAGAGTTCTCTCCGGGTGTGTGACGCATACAAAAATTGCAAATGTAATAGTGTATCTAGTGTGTCAATATTACATTGGCTTAAGTAAACAGGGAAGATACCACTTATCAAAAGCTTTAACAATCCCAATAATATTGCGCCCGGTCAGCTGAAGGCAGCAGAGTGCAAACAGTCGACCAGGTATGGAGTGACAACCATAGGTGACAACACGACTATGGAAATGGGTGGAGCCTCTAATGTGTCTTGTGTCCAGAGTCCCGACACAAACACATAGAACTTCCACAATGCTTATCTGATAGCCTGGGACACTTACCCTCTGCTTACGAGCGTGGTTCCTCCTCTTAAAGAACAGAATCAGCTTCTTCCTCATCACTTGGTTGCTAAAAGAGAACAACACTTAAAATCAGTAAAAATATGATATTACTGTGTTTACCAGAAAAGGTTTGGGTATTTACAATAAAGCATATGAAGCTGGCTAACACAAAAATAGTATTGTCCCAGAAGATACTCCAGCAACAAAACTTAGTCAGTACAAAGGGAAGTCTGGGAATCTACTTCCAGGAAGAAAAAACCACTCTTTTTAAATAGTACTATTGTAATAAAACCTTAAAAATAGTTAAGAATGGATTTATCTCCTTTGACCGACTAATTCTCTATATTAAAGCTGCTATTAAAAGCTGCAAATGTACACAATTAATTAATATGCAGAAAATGTATCTGCAACAACTTTGATGAATGAGTGTTTTTTTAAGTAATAGCTTGAGCAAAAATGCCAAAAGAAAAACACTGGTTCCAGCTTCCAAGATGGGAGTTTTTGCTGTTTCTGTCTTCTGATAATAAACTGAATTTCTTTGTGTTTCGGACTGAAAGTTAAAAATAATAATAATGGCAGACAGTTTAAATATGTAAACTTTGGCTCACAAGAATTGTTGTGGTTTTTTTTTACAATTTCTGGACATTTTCAGACAAATTGATGAATTAAATAATTGAGGAGGTAATTGTCAGATTAATCTTTAATGAAAAGTAGTCCCTTCAAGTAGTACAAGTTTTCCATCTGAAAGTGTGTTAACGAATTGAGCTTGATTTATTTTCCAGCACATTTTCAAATGGATAATTGACATCACTGTTTTTTTTGCACTGCTGCAGCTAAAACAAACTGAACTAGGGCTGTGCAATTAATCGTATTTTAATCTCGATTACGATTTTGGCTTGCAACGATTATGAAAACAACGTAATCGAAAAAAACGATTATTTTGCCGCATTCCCTTTCGCAATGATGCTCTCAATTTGTCTTGCGTTATACATCCTGCACCCCCCCCCCCCC